CTACATATCAATGTAGTCCTTAAGCCTGATATGTGGTCCTTAAGCCTGATATGTGGTCCTTAAGCCTGATATGTGGTCCTTAAGCCTGATAATGATGACATAGGCCATTAATGTCAAAAATGTCTGCATGTATTGACCAATAGCATACCCCAGATACTAAGACTATGGTTCTCAACAAGGCCTCCTTGTTATCCTTAGAAAGTCATCTCACATGCACATCTCCATCTAAGATGACACCCCAATAATTCCATATTTGAGATCGACCCTACTGATTACTTTACGCCATCCATGGCGATTTTGCATCATCGCAGATGTTAAACCATCGTCAATAAATTCTGCTGAATGACTGGATGATGATGGCCAAGGTCGGTGGACGTGCTGTCTCGCTTGCCTTCGGCAATAACCATCACTTGTCTAGTTATATGGTCTTCATTCCGATGCATCTAGTCTACGTAACGTCCTGAGTTTTTGTGGGACATAAAAATTGTTACTATTTGCCAGTTAGTAGCTAGTTTGTAGTTAGTTAGTCATAGTTATCCTTATTTTAATCCACTGCTCATTCAGAAATAGATCTCTACTACTGCTCATTCGGAAAGTTGTCTCATCACAAGAAGAATGAGCAAGAAATATGCGTTCATCGATATGTATAAGCCGTGACTGGGGACAGTTAACCCATATCGATCTATCGAGAGATCTATTTCTGAATGAGCAGTGTATTAAAATAAGGATAACTATGACTATTCAAAAGTGTTTAAATTAAGTTAATTTGAATAAATGATTTTCTATTCTATTCATTTAAATATACGTAACATAATGTTTCCATGTCAAACTTTGGTCAAACTCTACGTCAGTAACAATTGAGAACGTGTCTATTGTAGTTATTTCATTAATTTAAACAAATTGTAAATAATCATTATATATGACAACATGCCGGCATATTAAACGTTAAAACCTGTTCCAAAGTTCATAAAATCCATTGTCGGCAGCGTCACAAACAAATTGAAACACACGAGTACTTACAAATAAAAAATTGTTATTAGAAAAGGCTTTCTAAAAAGGCATAATTTCCCAATGCTCTTGGAACGACTTTTCTTTTCACAGCTGAAGTTTCGGGAGCAGAAACAAAAACAAACAAAGGCATTAGGTAAGGACGGATATTATTCACGTCTGAAAAGTGAAGCCTCACAAATTTGTCAACTCAGAACTCTGAGCAACTGAATTATTATTGTTGGTGTACAACCACTTTTCTTGCTGTTTTATTTTGTCTTGATACGTGTATAATACACACTATATGTATATGCATCTTTTAGAAGATTGTAGAAAGATTTTTATAGCTCTCGGTCCTACTTCGACCGCATACAAATTAACTACACAGCCTTTAGTCAATTCAAAACTTCTTCTCCTTCTTCTTCATCCCTGACTCTTCTCAACTCTTCCCGTTACATTAGAAACATTTCGCTGATATACATCTCACTTCCACTTTGACCATATATCAATTACCACATAGCTATTTTTCGGTAATTCCGAACATCTTCTTTTTCTTCTCCATTCTCGACTATTCCCGTTATGCGAGGTCGGCTTTCCTAATCATGAGGCCATATATGTATTTCGTTAGTAAACGTCATTTAATAGGCTCAATTACTTCATGTGCCTATGGGTATTAGTCAGCCAGGTGGGCCAGCCAATGGGCTGGCTCGACCTCTTTTCATTGTTTTAGTTAATAAAATCAATAAATAACTCTGGACAATTAACACAGCGCCATCTAACCCCAAGGTAAGCAGAGCTTGTGTTATGGATACTAGACAACTGATATAAATACTTTGATACTTATAAAAAATAACATTCTTAATATACACAGAAAACACGCAAACCAATACAAACAATCATACTTATGAATACAAATGTTTACAGCGTGCGAGGAATCAAACCTGCGACCATTAGAAGTAAAGCGGTACGCTACTATATTTTGTTTACATAAGTGTATACAATTTTTATGTTTCCACTAATGCGCCACCTACTCTATTTTTTTTTGTAAATACTCTCTTTCCAAAGGTTGTCTGTAAGAGATTGCATTAGCGATAAGACCGCCTTTTGTACTTAGTTTTTTTTGTTTTTAATTTTGTTCATGTCCTTTATATGTCGGTGCAATAAAGTGTTATAATATAATAATATAATATACGCTATACCGATAGACTACCGAGGCCGTTAAATTCAAAACGATACAGTAAATATTATAGATAAATAACTTCTTTCAAGTAATAAAGACAGGATATCTTATCCGTCAGATTGAAATATAATCCTTGGTCCATGGCAGATATAATCGTAGATGAATTAAGTTCTCCATCTGATAATTCAATCACGGTTCCTTTAACTAAAAGTTGATAAATACACTTGAAACCACAAAGTAAATAAACTGTTGAAACAGCGAAATAAACAAATCAAAACCAAGATTTAATCCTCATCTTCCTTCATTTCAATTTCAGGTATAAATATTATCTGTTTGATGTAAGATTAAAATTTTATAAGGTTTTTAATTATTTGGTTTCGTTTTGCCGCTCACTCGTTTGTCGCTTAATCTTTCAAAATACAATAAAAAATAATTTATTCATGTAGGACATATTAGCCGCTTATGAATGTCAAATTTTTTACATTATAATTTTAATTTTTTCCCTACCGTCCAGTTCAGTATATAGATCCAATTAGCTTTTGCACGCGGCTTCGCTTGCGTTAATTTATCCCCTTAGGGGTGGAATTTATCATAATCTTTTCTTAGGGGATGCCTACGTAGGCATCGGGCTGAGAAAGCACTACTATAACGTCATAATAGTGCTTTCTCAGCCCGATCGGTTTAAAATTGACAAAGTTTCATACAAACTTTCACACCTATTTTAAAACTCTGTCTGTCTGTTGCTCTTTCATGCAAAACTTTTTTAATGAAATTTGGTACACAGATAGTCTAGACTTTGATCTTGGTTGTAAGGGATTGAAAGAGAAGATGAAAAGTTATATGGAAGTATCATCATATTTAAAGCTACAATCTTGAAACCTATTTTTTGGGCTGTTAATTAAATACAAATAAATATGATATTTTTATCCCCTTATGGCATTTATCAAAATCCTTTCTTTGGGGAAACCTACGTCATAGTGGCTTTATGCATGCAAAGTCTCAGCCCGATCGGTTTAAAATTGACAAAGTTTCATATAAACTTTCTTCCCCTGTTTTATCCCTTGGGGGTAGAATTAATCAAAATCCTTTCTTAGCGGATGCCTACGTCATAACATCTACCTGCATGCCAAATTTCAGCCTGATCCGTCCAGTGGTTTGGGCTGTGCGTTGATAGATCACTATGTCAGTCACCTTTGAGTTATATATATATATATATAGATTGAGAAGAACTGGCAAGAAACTCAATTGAATATTTTATTCTGTAACACAGGTTTTCTTAGCACAGATTCCATTCCGTTCTCTTTTATTTATTTATTTATTTTGTTAATACTTATAATGGAATGGAATATATATATTTTTTTATAACCAGTTTATTTACAATGTATATTTATATAGGTGTCTATGTCTAACATTAAATGAAAATCCCGTGCATGAACAACCATTGTCATGCACGCTCGTCATTCAAGTAATCGTTTAGTCGAAAAATTATTGGTAGGTCCTTTTTTAATGCATAATAGTGGTATTGTACACCCGGCTGACCTTATGGTAAATGATAACGAGACGCTAGTGGAGGATGATAATGAGCATGAGGTCAGGTCAGTTAGCCCATCCCATGAGAAAAGTAAAGAATTTATCACAATAGTTTCCAGGAGGAACTGCGTGGAGATGAATTTAACATGATATGCTAGCTATGGGGTTATTAGCCCATATTATTAACAAGCCCCTTCCTCTCATGATAGGTAGTACCTCTCAAAAAGACGGAACAACAGTCGCCCGGAATAGCTGGACATCCTGCACTTCTAAAAAAGAGCCCGCTCTACACGAACAACGGTCCAAATATAGGGAATATAATGTAGTTTATTTAATATTTTTTATGAAATTCATATTAATAATAATGCTGGACAATTCACACGGCGTTATCTGATGTCAAGCTAAGAATAATTTGTGTTACGGGTACTAAACAGCTTGTATAAATACACTTTTTTTATATAAATACATATAAAACATCCAAATGGATGGGATAAATCCGTGGTCACGGATACAATGAATTAGGAATTTATTACCATTGGTAAATAAATAATATAATAAATAATACATTAATAATTGATAATAAATTGGTAATAATAAAACCTGACCACCGCCACTGGAAGTGTTACGATACACTTCCAGTAGCGGTGGTCAGGTTTCCACAATCATTATTTGTTGTCATAGAGATGCTAATGGTAATCATAATAATATAAACAAGTGTTTACCCAATGGTCGAAATTCGTAAGACCATAATTAATTTGAATTATAAATTTGACCATTCGTAAGATTCTATTATCAAAGACTATACTGCTAATGGTAATCATAATAATATAAACTAGTGTTTGTCCAATGGTCGAAATTCGTAAGACTATAATTAATTTGAATTATAAATTTGACCATTCGTAAGATTCTATTATCAAAGACTATACTGCTAATGGTAATCATAATAATATAAACTAGTGTTTGTCCAATGGTCGAAATTCGTAAGACCATAATTAATTTAAATTATAATTTTGACCATTCGTAAGGTTCTATTATCAAAGACTATACTTGTATGTGTGTGAGTTAAAAACATAGCAGTATATGTAATGTTATTTTTTTAATAATTTAATATAATTTTCGTGTTTTTTTTTAATATTATATATCTGCACTCCTTCTCTATATAAAGTATAAGTGTGCGAAATGTCATACTGTACTGTTCACGCAATTTTCGAGAAAAGATTTTTGTTCGCGTATTCATGTAACAATATAATTGAAACGTTTATCTATATCTACTAACAAATAAAATAGTGGCCAAGGAACTAACCTGTACAGCTGGGTTGGCTCGGAAATAGGCGAACAGTGCACCAGTAATGGCGAGAAGTGCGACCGCATTCAACGCTACCTGCAGTACTCGAAACTTGTGTGGAGAGCCCTCGCTGCCCGCACCTCTCATATCTCGTAGCATCTGTTTGAAAATGTCTCATTAGTATTTGCATAGAATAGAATAGTTATAAACGTTATCTGTGGTTAAAATCGTTCCAGCCATTTCAGAGATTAGCCGGAACAAACAGACAGACAGACACGCAAAAATTGTAAAGAATGTTATTTTGGTGTATGTACCGTATTTATATGCATATGCACGTAGTAAAATACAATTATTTCAATATTACAAACAGACATCCAAATTTTATTTACATGTCTGTATAGCATTTTTTTATTTTAGAAAATAAAATAAAATTCCACGCGGATGAAGTCGCGAGAACAACTAGTGTAATATAAAGATTAAAGTTCTTTACAAACAAAATCACAACAGTGTAAGCTCGGGATAGGTATTACGATCGAAATGTAGTGTAAAAATTAAACGGAATACCCGCTATGAAATATTTTACAATCTCGACGTGACACGCTCGGCGTCCAGTCAGCGTGACTAACTCGCTGTTTCATTGCATACTTCTTGTGCAGCGTGATAACCGAGTTACTGACTTCGCGAACTTAACGGGATTAAAAATTCGATTTATATTTATGTTTATCAATTTTATCTAATCTAAACCCATATAAAAGTGCGGAGAAATTTGTTCTTTTTATTCTAACGGAATAAGTAAAAACAATATTTTACCCAATGTAACCTTAAAAATAAATAAAATTGTTATATTACATTAAAAAGATAGAGTGTGTAAAATTTATACGAAATATACATTAAGTAACAATTCACAATCTCGGGGTGACACGCTCGGCGTCCAGTCAGCGTGACTAACTCGCGGTTTCATTGCATACATCTTGTGCAGCGTGATAACCGAGTTACTGACTTCGCGAACTTAACGGGATTTAAAATTCTATTTATATTTATTGATTTTTTTAAACACTTATAAAATATATTTTGAGTAATAAATGTGTCTTATCATTGACTTGCGTTTATCTCACTATTTGAGGTTGGCGCAATATATCATATTCCACTAGTCCCTATCGGCCGTCATATCCGAGCTTACTTTCCTAATAAACACCTATCTAATCTAAACCAATATAAAAGTGCGGAGAAATATATTATTTTTGAAACGGAATAAGTAAAAAAATACTTAACCTGTAAAATAATCAACTATTAAAATGAGTAATATGGATAGTATGGGAATGAAGTACTACATTTTATATTAAACTAGTTACTCGCCCCGACTTCGCACGGGTGTATATGTATTATATATATAAACCTTCCTCTTGAATCACTCTATCTACTACAAAAAAACCGCTTCAAAATCCTTTGAGTATTTTTAAAGATTTAATCATACATAGGGACAGACAGACAGCAATTGCAACTTTATTTTATACCATGTAATGAATAAATAAAATATAAATAAGTACTGAAATATTGAAGTAAGCCGTAAATATTTGCAGCTAAATTTCGATTGAAAGTATTCCTATATCGCTTTGATGAAGGGAGGTACGAGACATCTTCTTCCACTAGTCTCTATCTGCCCTTATATCTGAGCTTACTCTCCTAATAAATATGTGTCTAATATAAACTAATATAAAAGAGCGCAGAAAGGATTTTTTTTATTGTAATGAAACCATTTTGTCTACATCATCTGCTTCTTCCTTATCTCATTTATTTGTGGTCGTCGTAATATGTTTTTCTCTTCCAATCATCCCTGTTCGCAGTCATTCTCACTTCAGACTCTATTTCTTACCATATCATCTCTCACACAGTCCATCCATCCCTTTTTCGGCCTTCCTGTGCACACCATTTCATATAAAAAAATATAAGTGTAAAATTTGCAAGAAATATCCGTTAACAATTCACAATCTCGACGTATCACGTTCGGCGTACATTCAGCGTGATTAACTCGCTGTTTCATTGCATACATCTTGTGCAGCGTGATAACCGAGTTGCCGACATCGCGAACTTATCGGGATTTACAATTAAACTCGACGTGACAACTGCTAGGTTTATTTGGTACGTTAAAACTTCCTTTAACTTAAACTTTTTAATGCTTGTTTGAAAAATAATAATATTTTGGAAATATTGTAGTATTTATAATATACATGTATGTGCATAATTTCATTGTTTTTATAAAATCTAAAATGATTTGATAAATAATGAAGAAACAACGTTTTGGAACAGTTGAAATGGTATTATTTATATTATTAACCGGGTTTGAACACGAATATTTTTATGGTAAATACCTTTATTTACCATACACATAATTACATAGTATAAAACAAAGTCGCTGTCGCTCTCTGTCCGTCCCTATGTGTGCTTAAATCTTTAAAACTTCGCAACGGATTTTGAAGCGGTTTTTTTTAATAGATAGAGTGATTGAAGAGGAAAGTTTATATATATAATACATGTACCCCCGGGCGAAGCCGGGGCGAGTGGCTACTTAAAATATAAATTAGATAAATGTAATGTTTTTGTTAGCGTAGTACTTGCCAATGTTATAATAAAGACCTCTTTTGTAACATTGTTTTACGCCAACAAAAAACGTTGCTTTGTAAATAAAATTAAATATATTTCTCGAGTTGATACTTCGAATTTATTATGATTGGAATTGAATTACAAATATCAATGGAATAAAATATTACTTATTATTCAATATTTGATCTGTCACGTTTTCCATTAAGTTGTTTGTGATGATTCTCCTGTAGATCTTCTTGCAAACACTTCTTGTATAGACAGACCGATAGAAACAACATAATAAAGCAGTTGATTGCTAACCACGTCGGTTTTGGGCACTAGCATAAAACAAATATGTGTATACATATAAATAAAATTGGAGTGTCTGTTTGTAATATTGATATAACCGTTTTTTACTACTTGCATATGAATATGAACATAGTACATACACCAAAATGTAATTTTTGCTAATCTCTGAAATGACTGGACATCCATCCATGCTTACAAACTTTCACATTTATAATATATCTACCTAATTACCTGCACCTGTGACTTCGTCCGCATGGAATTAAACTCTATATTTCTAAAATAAAAGTAGCTTAAGTTACTCCTTATTAAATCAGCTACCTGCCAAGAAAAGTCCCGTCAAAATCGGTCCAGCCATTTCAGAGATTAGCCGGTACAAACAGACAGACAGACAAACAACAATTGTAAAATAAATGTTATTTTGGTGTTACGAGTAGGGTTGCCAACTCTCGAAAGGACCAACCCGGGAGAAAATTAAAGAGAGGGCCTGAGAAAGAAAATCATTAATAATTTTTGAAATTTATATTTATTTTATTTCCAAGCAGCATATAATATTTGTCAGCTTTTCACCAATAAATCATAAAAGCTTTTACATTGAAAATCGAAGTTTGTTAGTACTTGTTTTGCATTTACTAAAGAAATACTCATTTGGTTTCATTAGAACTGCGAGTGAATAGCAACGAGCGAACGATGGTGTGCATTTAATTTTTAGAAAACCCGAGAAATTATTGCTCCCCGAGATGTCGGGAGTTTAACCATTATTACCGGAGTCTCCCGGGGTATCCAGGAGGGTTGGGAGCCCTAGTTATGAGTCTTAGCATGCACTTCAGGGCATACGAGACACCACGTCTCATCCGTTGTCACATGTGTAAGAAAGGTTGATTAAAAAAACCTTTGCGCAGTGCATTTCCAGATCGTAAGATTTCTCATCAACGGTTATTATATTATGATTACGTATAAAATTAATCTCTTACTTAACGGGCTCTGTGGTTTAGCGGTTTAGCAGAACGCTTTACATTCTTTGCGACACATAAAGCCACCTCCATTTTTATTTTATTTTTTTTTTATTTTGTAATACCATATTTCTGTATTATTTAATCTGTAAACTTTATTTCTATTTATAAAATGTATCTCATGTATGCTATGTGTTTGTAATGGCTGAATAAAGAACTTATCTATCTATCTATCTATCTATCTATCTTTGGTCGCGGGTTCGGTTCCTCGCACGGTGCAAATATTTTTATTCATGAGTATGATTGTTTGTATATGTCTGACTGATTTTATATATATTATGTATATGTTAAAAAATGTACGTAAGCATATTTATTAGCTGTCTAGTATCTACAACACAAGCTTAGCTTGAAATTAGATAACGTTGTGTAAATTGTCCAGGTATATTATTATTATTAACTACCTACTCGGCCCGGCTTCGCACGGGTGTACATGTATTATATATATAAACCTTCCTCTTGAATCACTCTATCTATTAAAAGAAACCACTTCAAAATCCGTTGCGTAGTTTTAAAGATTTAAGCATACATAGGGACAGACAGCGACAGCGACTTTGTTTTATACTATGTAATGATGTTAATGTGAATAAAGGTATTTACCACAAAATTAGTTGTGTTCAGATCCGGTTATTGATATAAATAATACCATTTCAACAGTTCTAAAACGTTGTTTCTTCATTATTTATCTATTATAATTCATTTTAGATTTTATAAAAATAGTGAAATTACGCACATACATATATAATATCAAGGGAAGCAGACCAGAATACATTCTTAAAATGTTTCTAATCCGCAGGGAATTTGAAATATTACATTGTAGAATGTCGTTCGATAGGACTCGAATGTAGAGAGCGTATTATCAGATGGAAAATTGAAAATGCAGTCACGCTAAGATACCATTCCGAGTTTTATAGCTGTATAAAATATTTCTAATCTCAGACCAAGATTTTTGGGAACAGCAAAAATAGTCTCTATAAGTTACCTATCTGGTGATTAACTTTTGGATGAAACTTTACAGTGATATAGGTTATACATCAGAATAACATATAGGTTAATAATATCAAGCGGCCGATATATATATAAAACAATACTAATTTCTTTGTGTCAATCCATTTTCAATTATATATAATAATACTTAATTTATATTGGACTTAGATGGAACTATGTTTTTTTTATAATACGATGGTGGCAATCAAGCATACGGCCCATCTGATGGTAAATGGTAAATTCTTGAAAAACCCCATGCTGTAGTCTCGTGGGAAA